TAATGCAACTGTAAATTATAAATCTTATCTTTATTTTAATTCAAATAAGTATCATAGCTACACACAAATTCTGAATAATTTAATGTCAAATTAGTTAGCACGTTAATATATAAGAAAAATTGAATTTATTAAATAAGAAAAATCAAATTATAAAAAATAAATCTGCGTGAAAACAAAATCAATTTTAAAAAATAATAAATTATAACATTTCTAACCGCACATTAACTCTTCATGTTGGAGTCCTAAAAACGTGTAACTATAAATCAATGCAGTACGTTTAGAACTCTTTTTTTTTTACTTTTCAGATTTAATATTAACTATTTGAACTACAAAAATAATTTTAATTAAATTATTGTATTTGAATTTATATTATATTATATATTTTATATTATTAAAAAAGTATTGCTTTTGAATTATTCTCGATTTTAGGATTTTAAATTATAATAATTAATTTTTATAAATCAAAATTTTAAATAAAAAATAGACATATATCATCAATTAAAAAAAATAATTACAAATGTCAGCCAAAAAAAATTAAAATGCGAAAAACAAATTTAAAATGTCAATTGACAAAAATAAAATATATATATAAAACAAGCAACGTGGTTAGTGATTTTTTTTTTATATAACTGCACATTTATTTATTTAATAATTGTGGAAAAAATATAAAACAAGTAATGTGGTTTTTTCTTTGTGGTTTCCAAGTTTAAAATAAAAAATTTAAACTTTGAAATTATAAAAAATAAAAATAAAAAACACACACGAAGTCTTGCATATGAAATTTAGTTTTTGAGCATACAAGCATTATCTAATTTTGTGGAACCATCAAGCATTATCTAAAAAGTATATATTTAAATTAAATTTCAAAATAGAAATGTCATTTATTTAATCAATTTAAAAATTAAAAATGTTTTCAATCTAAGGATCTCGAAAGGATAAGAATAATTTTAATTAACCTTTTTTTTTTTGAAAAAATAACTGTACCAATTCCTTTTAAAATAATAAAAAAAAACAACTTCCCAGTTTCCACGTTAAAAAGAAATATAACTACCCCAAAATATAAGGGAGAGGATTTCATGTACAAATAATTTATGAATTAAAATAAATTTATATAAATTTAAAACAGATATATTTTAATCCAAATCGGTTCCAAGTTTAACTACTAATTAACTGTCATATTAAAGGAGGAGGGCATCTTCTCTATTCACTACTACAAAACATTTTTCTTTTTATAATAATCAATTTTTTTTTTCACTAATTGCTACTTTGCAGAATATTTGTTGTTATGTCTTTTTTTCATATATAATTTGTTAGATTTCAAATACACACTGCTAGAAAATATTCAAAGCTGCCAAACATACAAGTAAATGTTTTATAATAATCAATTATTTTTCTTCGTACTTCATGGTGATTTTACTTCCTTTTTTTTCTCCATTTTTAAGAAACCCAAAATTATTTTTTAATGACCATTATATGATAATATTCATTCAATTTATATGTATCCATCTTTTTGTAACTATTATATGAAAATAAAAAATGAGACAAAGTAAATCTACAAATTTTAATATTTCATAAATAATAAAATTATTAATATTATATTGTATACCTATATCTGTGTGTGCAAGGATAAAATCATAAGAAAATAAAATCAAATAATAGGTAAAATTTTATGATCTATAAAATTTTAAAACAAATCTTTCAAAAACAATTATGGAGTTTGAAAATATTAAAAATAATAATTGTAAATAAATAAAAAAGATAAAAAGAAAAATCCAAAAAGAAAACTAATCAATACGTTCCCTACCCACATTACCCAACTAACTTACAAACACTATTCATTTTTCAAATAATCAGAATTAGTTAGTTTTACATTTTTGTATAAAAAATAAAAGGTAAGTTTAAGTCAATTTTCCCTATATACATCTTCAAATATAAAAATAACTGACTTATTTTTAAGATAATCACATCTATCTTCTATCCATCTATAGCAAGAAGTTGGGTAATTTGCAATGTGATTTTACTAATTAATATGTTATTGAAAAATCACTTAACAATTTTTTAAAATCGATAATAAATAAATATTGTAAAAATATTTTGAATAATTAATTTTAAATTAAAATATATGAAAAATCATATCTTAAAGATGGTAATTATATCACATTAGAGAGTTCTAATTGGACTATTATTGTTACCATAATAAATGCTATGCTATCGAACTCCTAACTGTTACCGAACATGTTTTAAATTAAAAATATAACATCATCTTAAAGATAAACTTAGACTTTTCCAAAAAAAAATTGATTAGATGGATATATGTAATTTATTTATTACTCTTTTCATTTTAATTTATTTGTATTTGTTTTGTCACAAAGTTTAAGATAATAAAGAAGTTTGAACAATGTAATTTTTAATCAAACATGTCAAATATATTAAACATATTGAAACAAATGGTAATTTTGAATTTTGTCTAAGATAAAATAATAAAAAATAAATACTTTCCTTTATTAAAATTTCAACAGAATATATTGTAAAACTAAAAGTGTATCGTATTATAATTATAGAAATAATATTTTGATATTAAAAGAAAAGTTGTGTACTAATAATATTAATTTAAAATGCTCAAATTAAGATATTTTCAATTTTTAATAATGAATTTTTAAAAATATTGACAAGTAAATAATAAATATTAGTTAATTTTAATTAAAAATGTGTTTACTTTTTATAATAGCCACGCAATGCGCGGATACGTATACTAGTTATATTTTAAAACACACATTTTATATAAATTCACAGTGAAAAAACTTTATTTATAATAATGCTTTAATCATAGGTCTTAATTTCAAAGCCCAAATATAAAAGAAAATCCTTAAATAAAGAACGATACACTCAAATATTAATTAAACTTTAATAAAAATATTGAACATCATACCTCACAAGCAAAATAAATTTGGTCAATTTGAGCTTTTTCCTCGTATTGAATTGGAACCAACCATTTATTGCCGTACAATTCATTGACTCCATCATTTTACTAGATTTGAACTTTCTACATAATTTTAATTAATATTTTCTTCATATAGGGACAAATATTGCATTGTTATATACTTAATAATATTCCATGACGTGCTTCACGGGGTATTATGACGGAATGTCGAAATAATTTGTAACTACGCTTATTGTGAAATATATTGTATACGTAAGCATAAAATTTCATATAAGTCATTTTTTATACGTCTTTTAAATATTTTAAATTATTACTTGTTATAGCTACAATATTTTTTTTTATATACGTTAATGAATTGTTGTATATCTGAAGTTGTTTAATTTTACCATCCATTATACCTTTAATTAGTTCATTTGTATCTTTGTTGTTAGCAAATTAATTAATTATGAAATTATCTCGTAACTTCCCCTGTCATTAATTATATTAACAAAGATCTAGCGTAACATAAATATACTTCATGGTTCCATCTTCTTTTAAGAAAAAAACAGGTCTAAATTTACACCTAAATTCTTGGAGTATAGTTTAAAATTACTCTCAATTAAGCTATTAATAAGACACACTATGAAAGTTAGAAAGAGGATCGTCGAAATGAAGATGTATAGGTCGAGTGTCTATATCTTTGAACCAATTCAAATTTATGTAGGAGCGTTCGATTACATAAGCTAGCCATCCACCTTGAAAGGAGATTGGTGGAAAAATATATGGACTAAAAGAGGGAGTACTTACACATGATGTTTATTAATCTAGACATATGATAAAGTCCCTAGGGAGATCTTTTGAAGTCTAGAGGTGTCTTTGTGACTTACATTAGGGCTATTAAATAATGTATGATGGAGACAAAATTTGGGTTAAGATAGTGGGAGGCAACTCAAAACATATCCCGACCGTGATAGGGGGTTGCACATGGATTAACCCTAAGCATATTCGTTTATGCCTTAGTGATATATATATATTGACATGACATATCCAAAGGAATCAGGTGCCGTGATGTATGTTATTCACAGATAACATATTATTGATTGATGAGCCATATATACATGCAGTAGAGCTAATAATAAAATTGGAAGTTGGAGAGAGACAACAGAACTAACACAGAGTATCTAGAGTGCAAGTTTAGTGACGTGAGACATGAGATAGATGGGGAAGTCATGAATATTGATACACTAGTAATACCAAGAGAGAAAATTTCAAATGTCTTGGGTCTATAGTTTAAGGAGATTGGGCAATTGACGATGATGTCACACACCGTGTTGGAGCGGGGTGGGGGAAATAGAAGCTCGCCTTTGGGGTATTAATGCGTGATAAGAATGTGACACCAATGATTAAAATGTAAGTTTTATAGAGTGATGGTTAGACCAAAACTATTTTATGAGGTCGAGTGTTGGCCAGTCAAGAATGCCCACGTTCAAAAGATGAGGTAGCAAATAAGATGATGCTTGGATGGATGAGTGGACATACTAGGAAAGATACGATTAAGAACAAATTTATACAGGCCGGGACAAGTTGGGAGTAACCTCTGTGATGGAGAAGATGAGGGAAGCGAGGTTGAGATGGTTCAGATATGTGCAACGGAGGTGCGAGGATGCACCAGTGAGGAGGTGTGAGTTGTTGACTATAGTAGGAGTCTATTGGAAATTAACAACTTCTCTATCCTGCAAAGGTAGAAGCCTCTCATACTTCACTTATGAAATTACATTGAGTATGTTGTTGTTTAAGGTAAAGCTCATTTAGAAACCAAAGGAATAAAAGAGACTTGTTCCTACCAGGAAGCCAAAATGAAGTTGCTCAATTTCACATAGTTTGCCGTTTTCCTTATATTAAATGGAAATCATCCATTTTTTCCACATCACACCTACCATTAGGTTTGAACTTTCTTCATCCCCACTTGGTAATATATATGACTTGGTTATTCTACTTGACTAAATATTACTATTCATTAAACTTTTTCTTCTTCTTGTTACCTATATAAGAAGCAATTTTATGTTTCCTCAACACACAATTTCACCTCTAACTATTTCTTACTCTTCTCAGTTCCAATTTTGCTATGGCTTTTCTAACTTCTCTTATAGCTTCCCTTTTACTTGTTGGGCTGCTAATCCAAATTTCAGGTCTCTCTCTTCTTACATACACACACTCACATATAGACGGATCAAAATTTAAATTCTATAAGTTCAATATTTAAGATTTTTTGTATTGAACTCATTTTATTTAAAATTTTGGGTTCTGACCTACTATTTGTTTCGATTGTAGTAACGTTTTACACATATACTTATGCTCCGTGTTAGAAGTACTGAGTTCAAATGAATTATACCATTGCTTGTCTCATGCATGCATATTTACTTATAAATGTTCTATTAAATAACACTACATATATTTTTTTTTTCTATGAGGGTGGAGTAGGCCCTATTGATAAAGACATAAAAAAAAATAGGCTTAATAGTCTCACGCAATTGTGACATCTACAAATAAGTTATTTATGGATGTATTAACCAACCATTATCAACATCAACTTGTTTTTATTGAGGCGTTATTATTGTTGTTGTTATTATTATTTTGATGTTCTTTTTTTTCATAATGTAGGAGCGCAGCCTATCGGAGTATGCTATGGAAAAATTGCCAATAATTTACCATCAGATCAAGATGTCATAAAATTATATAATGCTAATAACATCAAGAAAATGAGAATTTACTATCCAGATACAAATGTCTTTAATGCCCTCAAAGGAAGTAACATTGAAATAATTCTTGATGTCCCAAATCAAGATCTTGAAGCCCTAGCCAATCCTTCAAATGCCAATGGTTGGGTTCAAGATAATATAAGAAATCATTTTCCCGATGTTAAATTCAAATATATAGCCGTTGGAAATGAAGTTGATCCTGGTAGAGCTAGTGGTAAATATGCACGATTTGTTGGTCCAGCAATGGAAAATATTTACAACGCGTTATCATCAGCAGGATTGCAAAATCAAATCAAGGTCTCAACCGCGACATATCTAGGGCTCTTAACCAACACCTACCCACCTAGAGATGGCATTTTTCGCGAAGAATATAAAAGTTTCATTAATCCTATAATTGGATTTCTAGCAAGACATAATCTTCCACTCTTAGCCAATATTTACCCTTATTTTGCCCATGCTGATGATAATGTTCCTCTTTCTTATGCACTTTTCAAGCAACAAGGGCTAAACGATGCAGGATATCAAAATCTTTTCGATGCCCTTGTGGATTCAATGTATTTTGCTACGGAGAAACTTGGAGGACAAAATATTGAGATTATTGTATCGGAAAGTGGTTGGCCTTCTGAGGGACACCCTTCAGCAACTCTAGAAAATGCGAGGACTTATTATACAAATTTAATTAATCATGTGAAAGGAGGGGCTGGAACACCAAAGAAACCTGGAAAGACTATAGAAACTTATTTATTCGCGATGTTTGATGAAAATAGAAAGGATGGAAAACCAAGTGAGCAACATTTTGGACTATTTTATCCTGATAAGAGGCCAAAGTATCAACTCAATTTTAATTAATGATAGCATATTATAATTAATATATAGATATTTTATATTATATATGAATAATAAGGAGAAATGGTATGTTTTTATCTTCAATAAATGATAGTATATTTAATTAATATGTAATGAGAAAATGTATGGCCTCTTTTGTGTTCCTTGATAGCAAAATTAATATTAAGTATTTTTAATAAGATATGTATTTTAATGAAAAGGGTGTGTCTTTCATTCTTTGGTTATAACCATCAATTTTATTTAAGTCCAACTTTGGAAGATTGCAACGTAACTTTAACAGAGTATCTTTCTCTACAATATTCCTCAAAGAATTTTTTTATTCTCCAAAAAAGATCAAGTTCATATTTTCAAAACTTCATCGTTCTTTTCATATAAATTTTGTGTTCTTGGTATATATTTTTCCTAACTCTCTGTTTCAATATGTTGTCTGATTTTGATTAAACATGAAGTTTAAGAAAATAAAGAAAACTTTTGAATTTTGTGAATTAAAGATATGTAAATAACAACATGTTCTTTAATCTTGTGACCTGAAACATGTTATATGGAAAGTTAAAATTAAAGAGTTGCCAAAAAAGGAAAGAGACACCCAAAGTACCTTAGCATGCCAAGTTTATGTCGAAGGTGCAGTTCAAGTAAGCCTTCAATCTTTTATTTTTTAAACGGACTAAAAATAAAAATAAAAATAAAATAAATAAATTGAAACAAGTGGAGTATAAATATATTTTCTTAACGATGATAGTTATATTAGACATGCAAAATTGCTCAATTTCACTTAACATAAAATAATTTGACCTTTTCCTGGTATTGAATGGAAATAGCCATTATTCTCGCATCATAAAATTCATTGACTCTAGTTAATTTGAACTTTCTATGCATCTTCAGGATTTGAAGGCGATGGATGCACTACTACTAAATGTGGATGCGTGTTATGTTAAATATCGATACCTCAACGAAAAATATTGCTAAACAAGTATAAAATTGAATGTATTAGTTAATATAAATTAAACAAAAATGTAATATCGTTCAATGGGTGATTTGATGATCTCGACCCTCAGTGTATTTGAGGTTGCTAGTTCGAGTCTGACTTGACTTTTTTATATGTCATTTAATTTGAAGCATAGACATTGGACCAGTGCATCAAATGAGAGTGCACAATTAAATATATCGTCCTTATTTAGGTATATATATATACGTCACCTCTCCCTCAAACATGGGTCTACCTATGGTTGAACACCTTGACGACCCCTTAGATCCATCCCTGTTGACAAGGTAACTTATTTTGCTTCTAGATTGTTGTCACTAATTTCTTTCAAGATAGATTCAGAATTTGTAATTTATGAGTGTTTTCAACCATCACAAATTCTATATACAATAACTATTGGGTTCACAAAAAAATAATCATATAAACTTAGTAAATTTCTTTCAATTAAATGAGTAGACTTCACGTGTCCATTTTCTTCCAGAAAAAAGTACAAATTTACCCCTAAACTATCGACCCTAAACTATCGAGTATATTTTAAAATCAACCATTAAATGGAATCAACCATTTTTTTTCTATCACCTACTCTAGATTAGAAATTTCTTCATCCCCCATTAGGTACGTTTATATGACTTGATTATTCTACATGACTAAATGCCATTATTAATTGAACTTCTTCTTAGGGTAAACTTGACTTGTTTTTTTTTCCCACACTACCTTTCTTATTTTTGTCTATATAAGAAATAATTTGATGTTTCCTTAACACACAATTTCACCTCAAATATTTCTAACTCTTCTCAATTTCAATTTTGCTATGTCTTTTCTAAGTTTTCTTGTAGCTTCCCTTTTACTTGTTGCGCTGTTAATCCAAATGACAGGTCTCTCTCTTACATACACACTAGTAATGTATTTTTACACTGTATATTAAGAGTAGCATATTATAATATCGTAGCAGGTTATGTATCTTATTTACTAGGCTATTGATCTCAGTTACTATCAATAGTTAGGGGTATTTACTTCTAGGTGACCTGATAGTATAACAATTCTTTTGATGTTGGTGTAAATGAGTTAAAAATTCTAGTTGAAAAGCACTTCATATTTTTTAAAATTAGGAGGTCCTATTGGCGAGGACATAAAGGATGATAAATCTACATAACTAAGCAAACATAATTACTATATATACATAATCAAGCGGTATTTTAAAAAAATAATTGAAAATAGCTATACTTAAGAATTTTATAACTAATCTCTTCTCTCTTTTCCTCTTTTGCTCGTTACTCTCTTCCCTCTCTCCCTCCTCCTTTCCTCTCACATTTTTTTCTTGCCCTCTCTCTGCTTCTCTACATTTCATTGCATGAATCTTTCTTCTTATTTCTTATATCAATACAAAACTCCATTAAGCTTTACCTGAATTATTAATTTTTATCTAAATGTGCTTCTTGATCTTCAATATTTTCTAGGTGGCTGCTAATTGTTGATTCATTTTTATTGAATTAATGCTGGTATATCAAAAATTCTCATTATGGGTTCTTGATTTGTTATTCAATGTTTGAATGTTCTATTCTTCTTAGATTGATACGACCAATTGTATTTATGTATCAGAAAAAATAATACAGTTATTATCAAAGTGTATCTTCTTCGATTGATACAACCAATATATGTATCAGGAAAAATGAAACAATTATTATCAAAGTGTATCTTCTTTAATTGATAGATAATGATACATCCAATTGATCTAGGTATAATTTTTTTTTATAAAAATTAATATAGTTGTTATCTGACTAGATTTTTGTATTAAAAAAAAATCTAATACAACTATTATCAGAAAGTAATGTATTTATATATTATTTTAGGGGTGATATTCAAACATTGTATCAATTTTTTTTTTCATTTGTATATCACAATAAATTGATATAGATTGTATCATGTATTTATTTTAGGGGTGATATACAATATGTATATGTCTATCTATATTTCAATTTCAATACTAATTGTGCATTTGTGTAGTTGAGTGTGAGATTGATAGAGGAGAAATGACAGCGAGATCTGGGAAAGAGAGAGAAAGAGAAGAGAATGTGTATATGTGTATCTTAGTTTCAATTAAGATATACAAGTGGTTTATAAGATACAACATGCTTGCCTCTCTCCTCTATCTCTCCCGATCTCGCTCGTCTCTCTTCTATCTCTCTCTCCTCTTTCCTCTGTCTAAATTTATTTTTATGAATTGTGAATAGATAAACGTTACTATTTATAATTATAGTCCAAACTATAACTATTTATCATTATAATGTAGGAGCACAACCTATTGGAGTATGCTAAGGAAAAATTGCCAACAATTTACCATCAGATCAAGATGTCATAAACCTATACAATTCTAATGGAATTAAAAAGATAGAATTTACTATCCAGACACAAATGTCTTCAATGCTCTCAAAGGAAGTGACATTGAAATAATTCTTGATGTCCCAAATCAAGATCTTGAAGCCCTAGCCAATCCTTCAAGTGCCAATGGTTAGGTTCAAGATAATATAATAAGTAATTTCCCAGATGTTAAATACAAATATATAGCCGTTGGAAATGAAGTTGATCCTGAAACAAATACCGGTCAATATGCACAATTTGTTGGTCCAGCAATGAAAAATGTTTACAACGCGTTAACATCAGCAGGATTGCATGATCAAATTAAGATCTCAACCGCGACATATTCAGGGATCTTAACAAACACCTACCCACCAAGTGCTAGTATTTTTTGCGAAGAATACAAAAGCTTCATTAATCCCATAATCCAATTTCTAGCACGAAATAACCTCCCACTCTTAGCCAATATCTACTCTTATTTTGGCCATATTTATAACACTAACGACGTTCCTCTTTCTTAAGCACTTTTCAAAGATCAAGGGACTAATTCCGCGGGATATCAAAATTTTTTTGATGCCCTTTTGGATTAGTATTTTGCTATGGAGAAACTTGGAGGACAAAATATTGAGATCATTGTATCGGACAGTGGTTGGCCTTCTGAGGGACACCCTGCAGCAACTATGGAAAATGCACAAACTTATTATACGAATTTGATTAATCATGTGAAAGGAGGGACTGGAACACCAAAGAAACCTGGAAGTACCATAGAAACTTATTTATTCGCCATGTTCGATGAAAATCAAAAGGATGGACAACCAAGTGAGCAACATTTTGGACTCTTTTATCCTGATCAGAGGCCAAAGTATCAACTCAATTTCAATTGATGATACCATATTATAATTAATATATAGTGCTATGAATAATAAGGAGAAATTTGTGTGCCTTTCTCCTCCTTGTGTTTCCTTGATATGAATATATACATGTTATATATACTTAGAAATACATTTTAAAGAAATGCATGCAAATTATGACATCGATATGCCTTTATGTTATATTCAATCTAGTTAACCTATTAGATTACTTAGAATTCATTTCAGATCGTCATGATTTTAAAACTTTTAGTTCTCTGCCCCCACTAACAGAGAGAGATTAATGACTAATTTAAATTTTACTAATGTATTATAACAATAAATTATTTTATTACTTCCCCCATTTTAGTTTGATTATCTGATTTTGATTTGACATATGGCTTTTAAGAAATTAAGTAAAGAATGTACCAAAATGTCCTTTAATCTAGTGGTCTTAATTAAACATGTCATGTAGAAAGTTTAACTTTCAAAATGGTCAAAAACTAAAAGAGACGTTCATATTGAAATAGATTAAAAAGAAAAGCTAAGACAAACAAATTCTAATGGAAATAGTATATAACTATATACAATAGTAGTTAAATGTGTTGAAGTGTATAACCATCTCATCTAAAAGCGGGTTCGATTCGGGCAAAGCACGTGAAAATGCCGCACTTGAGACCTTGATCTTAGATTGTAACCCTGCTGCTGATAACGCGTTGTAAACATTCTTCATCATGGGAAGAACAAATTGCGAAATTTGACCATTAGATACTTCATTTCCTATAGATATATATTTGAATTAATTAACATCTGGAAATTTTTTTATATTATCTTGAACCCAACCATTAGCATTTGAAGGATTGGTTAGGGCTTCAAGATCTTGATATGGGACATCAAG